AGACAGACAGACAGATTTGTCTCCTGTCCTGGCAGAATTCTTTCTGGAAATAAATCTGTCTTTAGTTTGCATTGACTTTTGTAAAGTTGCAAATGTATGTGCTATTTGGCAGTGTATCAGCAGGTGGTAGCATCTGGTCAACCTTGATGGGTCAAAACAACTAAATAGAATTGGACCTACAGTACTTAGTATTTGTATGGGAGACCTCAAGATAGAAATATGCCGGAAGAAGACAATTGCAAACCATTTTCATATGCTGTTAAAAATTAAATGGGACATATGTTGCCAAAAACGATATGCGTCCATGTAGTTTCAGTAGCCAAGCTTGACCTTTCCTTTATCTAGATGCTTATAATGGTTAATTAGTTGGATCCTGACCTAAGAAACACAGATTCAAGTCTGCACTTGACTATGGATCATTGGGTTGCTTTCTCATCCTACTTCATGTATTATTTCTTGTTGTGGAGATAAAAGGAGGGGAGACCTCCTTGACTTGAGCTCCCAGAAAAAGTGATATCATCATCATCATCATCATCGGCAAAAGAAATCAAAGATAATACCAATAGTAATAGGCACCTTGGGTTCAATTCCAAAATATCTGGAGCACCACTTGAACACCATTGGCGTTGCCAAAATCACCATCAATCAATTGCAAAAGGCAGCTTTACTTGGAACAGCTTACATCTTGTGATGATACCTTTAATATTATTAAACATCTGCCTATCCCAGGTCCTTGGGAAGGATATGATAGGTGGACAAAAATGCCAAATCCAGTCTAAACATCTGGCTGACAACGAATCATCATCATCATCATCATCATCATCATCATCATCATCATCCTGTTAATTAAATAATCAAATAATGAATTATTTTAATTTGTTTATTTTTTCATCTTTCTGATTGTCATTTCTCTAGGAAAACTTTCTTTTTTGCTTTTTTTTTTTTATAGATAAGTATAGATACAGGTGATCTCTTAATACCAGTCCTGCAGTTTGGCTTAATCAATATAAATATTTATCTTGTTTTGAAAATATGAGATTTTATTTTATATCCACATGAAACTGCAAGTTTTTCTTTTTTCTTTCCTAGCACACCCCGAATGAATCCCATGAATGTGAATGGAGTGGGAATCAGTTGTATCAAGAGCTAAAGAGTTTTCTATAATAGCATCTGTGGTAGCTGATGAGGAGTAGCTCTGGCTTCTTGACAAGTCCAAATTAGCACTGTTGCTAGTTTCCAGAGAGCACCCCATCTGTGCCTTGAGCAACCATAGTAACATGGCCCAGCTTTTGCCTTCAAATAGCTAATCCCACAAATAACAGTCTTGGAAGTGAATTTCTTTATAGCAGAATTGTGGATCTTCCAGAATTTGTTATCTAGCAAACGTGTTGACAGTTAAAACAAGGAGTTTTGACAGAACTCTAGTATCCTGATGTTCTGCTTTCTTGCCAACTCTTAATTCTAACAAGCTGCATTTTTTTACTTGGCTATTCCCAAATGTCCTTTTATTTAGATGTCGTTCCTATGAAGATTGTTGTGGTTCAAGATGCTGTGTGAGGACTTTGTCGATCCAGCGACTATGGTATTTTTGGTAAGTTAGTGAAAAGCAACTAGCAAGGTTAATGTGATCTCTGGTAAGGTTTTCTTTGCAGTTAAATTGCTATGAAAATGAATTTAAGAGCCTAAGGCAGCCTTCCCCCATCTGATGCTTTCTAAATCAGTCAGACAAGAATTCCTGTATTACCAACTATGATAGGTGGATTTAAGTAATTAATAGCACAATCCTATACATGCTTTCATATAACTAAGCTTCACTTGTTTCAATAGCCTTAGTATCCAGTATATGGGTACAGCAGGAATAGAACATTAAATCTGGCACAAGAGTCAGGGTTCCATTTTAGACATGCACATGCTTAGGACAGGTGGATAACATCAAGAGTAAGCATCACTTCCATACCATGAAGCCTCCATCTGGCCATCCCTTCTTCTATTCCAAGATGCAGTGTCTAGCTCTGTATGATCAAAAGAAAAGATTTCCTCCCCCTCAGACCAACCTGGGAATGAGTTTCTCCATCCCCTCTTTGAGCAGAAACAGTCCTCAAAGTTTAGATTAGATGGCTGTTATATTAACATGCAACAACTGATCAGTTTCATTGCCCCAGGTAGTTGTTAATTTGGAAGGGTAGCAGGAAGAAGCTGAACGTTTAAACCTTGGGAATTGAGAAACATTTTACACCTTGGGAATAGCAGTTGAATATGGCTTCATTCAAGTAAAGTTTCTAATCTTGCTGATTAGGTTTGTTTTCAGCCTAGTCAATCTGAGGAGTTGTGTTGTGTCAAGATTATGGTATACTACCAAGCCCTAGTCAGGAAGCCTGACAAGAAGAGGTTATGTTTTGCCTGCAGATGGAATTTCCCATGAATTATCCCCTGTGTCTGGGCTACAGAAAAATACCTAGGGTACATGAGCCAGCTGACATCCATTTTCTGTCCCCTACAGCATGCCTAGTTTTGTTTGGTGGTGGTGGTAGGGGTTTTAAGAGACAAATGTTTTCCCTAAAAATCTCTTTATCCCCTCCCCAAACTGGCCCTAGCCTTGCCCATTTTTGAAATGCACCCCTCATCATTCCACAGAAAACGTGGTACACAAAAAGTAGCACAGTTTGAGTTGTAATCTAAATGTAACTCAACTATATACCATTATTGGCCTTGTCTCTGAGATACAGAAAGTTTGGGGAAAAGACTCTTAATGTGTTTTCCCCTCCAAAATGCTCCAATATTTGGCCCACTGGGCTCTGGGGACCAAAAAAGTGATGCTAAGCAGGTTGTACTTTATGCTCCCTGCCTAAACAGTGCATCGGGCACAGTCAAAGCAGCCTTCCTGTTCTAAGCCATTTAAATTCACGGACCATTGGATCAAGTCACTTGTACTATGATCAATAATTAACTACACAGTAAATTGTGTAAATGGCTAAAGTTTATTTTATCTGTCTCTCTTTTTTTCTGCTCAGGTTTCTTCTGATGATGGGCGTTCTATTTTGTTGTGGGGCTGGTTTCTTTATCCGAAGACGGATGTATCCTCCACCATTGGTTGATGAAACAACTTATAACGTGTCCTTCACTCGACCACCTAACTCCAGTACACCAGGTTAGAGATTACAGTTGCCCTATCGGGTTTACACCTAGTGCTCAGTAATGTAGTAATTATTTATCTCAACAATTACTGTCATGTGCTCACTGATTTAAGCATAAGGTAGTCTAACCGAATCTGGTCCTCTCCCAGTGTGTTTGACTGAATGTTGATTGGGAATAATAGGACTGCGTTCTAACACAAAGTGGTAAAAGCTGTTCTAACTCTATGAAACAAGTATTTAAGAGGAAGGAAGGTAGTATTTTATAGACACTGTTACCACATGTGTGGACAGGCATTTTTAATGCTGATACTCCATTGATCTTTCCACCCAAGCTCAGCTGGTGTACCGTTAATCTGATTTTTTTTTTAAAAAATCCACATGGAGCTACAGTTTCTATAACGTTTGATGCTATGGCTCATTAGTAAGTAGTAAGAAGTAGTAAGAAATCATTGTAGGCTAGAATTGAACATAAGAATATCACCTTGCAGCCATAGGGGACGGAGGAAACTGTCGTGTTTCAGATTCATCTTTCTTAACACTCTTTTTTAAATAATATTTTATTAAAGTTTACAAATGCAAAGATAAAAGACTAATACAAAGTAAGAGGAATATAAAAAAGTAAAGAAAAAAGACTAAAAGGTACATCAAAAAAAGAATAGTAAAAAAAGAAAAGAAAAGAAGAAAAAAAAGATATATAAAGAAATGACTCCCTCTGGACATGTATAAACAACTTCAGTAACTTAACACCTTCTCTAATATTTCAATTTAAAAAATCTGTTCTTCTCATATCTCATCTCTTATCAATAAACAAATTGTAAAAATTCATCATTCAGTCCTAATCAGCAAAAGTCCATTGAGAGCTACCAGAAATAATAACATATATATTTTAAACTTAATCAAAAAAATCCATTTTGCATTCCAACTTATCACTTTCTCTGAAAAATAAAGCAAAAGAAATCTCTCCCTATATTTTTATCTGTTGTCTATAAACAAATCTTTAAAGCCGCATCATTCAGTTCTAGTTTAAAAAAAAAACACCATTAATAGCTATCAAAAACCACGACATACATATTTTAACCGTGGTTGAATAAATCCACTTTATATTACTTCTGTTTACTTCTAAAGCTTGATCTCTAGTCCCTTCAAATAATATCCTGCAAGTTGATTTCTTATCATTTTCTCTTTGTCTCCTCTCAGAAACTTCTTCACTAGTTTAACACGGTCTCTTTTGTAAATCCAAGATAAGAAAGCTTTCCAAATCACTCTTCTGATTTATTATTTGTATGTCCCCTTTAATTATTAAGAATCAACCAGTTTCATTTGTAAATCCAATGTGGCATCTTTTTCCATATCACTCTTGTAATCTGGCATTTTTAAATCCATTTTCAGATCCACGTTCAGATCAGTCTCAGTCTCTATTTTGTCCAGTAAAATCTGTTCCTCTTCTGTAGCCACTTTTAAATCCATTTTTATAGTGGCAGACAATCTTAAGAGTAATTTCTGGGTACATTGTTCCCAAATATCCTTGATTTCTTCTATAGTCAAATAATATTGCTCCCTTGTATTAATGGGTCTCTTCTTTAATTGTAATTTTTAGTTCTCTCTGGTTCCCTCTAGTCAATCTTCAAAGTCCCCTCTTAGATGTTTATTTTCCAATCAACAAAACTTTCCCACAGGAGAATTACTTACAGTTAATTTCAAAATCTTCACATATATTTTTATAAAATTTTAAACAACCCACAAGAAATATTCCTTCAAGTCCATCTGGCCCTTTAACTTTCCAAAATCAACATTTTAGTCCCCCTTTTGCTGTTTTTCAAAAGTATTTTTTTTCTTTTTAATCCTTAGACTTACATGAAACTTCTTTCAAGGATAGAAAGAAACTCTCCTGGTGTAATGAGACTTGGCCTTCTGAAAGGTTCTTAACATCCAAAAAATCAATAACAGGCAATTTCCTAAGGTGGTTAAGAGAGGAAGTGGGCGAACCCAGTGTCCTTTTGAAGGTGCCTAATCATGGATTAGGCAAGATGATTTTTCCCCTGGCTCCCAGAGCTGTAAAATGCTATTTTACTATCTCCTTGTGGGGAGCCTGTATGGAGCAAATTTGTGGGTGATCCTAGTCCTCTCCTTAATCTGGAGAGGAATTCCGAGGAACCGATCCATTCACCGGTTCCTCTTTCTGCTGCATCAGTTGGCTCCACTCTTTGCAGAACTGTCTTCAATCTGCCACTGCTTCCCTTGAAGTCATCTTTCTTAACACTCTTGTTGGCAATGGTTGTGTCAGACAAAAGTGTTTTCCATTGCTGGCTATTGGGATTTCAGAGATCTGAAATCTCTGTTATGGAAAATATGTGCTCTAGCACTATATGTACAATCTGCTAGACATCTTAAAAGAATTAAGAGGCCAATCAAATAAGTATAATTTCAAGCCAAGATTTGTGCCAGGAATAAGCGTGTGACTACAAAGGATCATATAAACAAAGGGTTAAAAAACAGTTTGGCGATCATCTATTCTAACCATCTCTATGCAAGTTAAAGCCATTGTTGTTCTATTTACACATCTCCCAGAAAGGAGAGTCCACCCTTTTTCAAAGCAGACCAGAGCGCTTGCGATTAAGAAGTTTCTTCTGATATATCTCCAGAATCTGCTTCCTTGCAATTTGCATGAGTTGCTTCTAGACCAGGCCTCTAGAGTAATACAGAATCAAATGGCTCTATTTTCGGTGTAACTGCCTTTTACATGTTTGAAATCCCATCTTACCTTGGTTTCCTCTTGTCCAGACTAAGCATGGCCAGCTGTCCCAACCATGCCTCAAAGCATGTGATGGAAGTGGCTCAGCTAGAGTTTCTTCCTCTTCTTTTGGATGCACTAAGGAAGGAGGCAGATCACTGAGGAGTCACATGGGGGAGCCACTGACCTGAAATTGAATGTGGACTTGGTTAACATTCCAAGGCTTAAAGTCTTTAACAGTGTATATGTCCAATTGATGATGGCACCATGTGGCAGTTTATTATTCTGTCCTGCCTACTCTTTCCTTATGCCTGGGAAAGGGAATAGAAGAAACAGCAACAACTGGTGAGATATTTTGTAATACAACTGCAAATTATGAAGTGGTTGCCATGACCTCCAATATCCTTTTGGGTACCTGAAATTAGAAAGTGAAATATGGTTCCAATTGGCTAGGCTTCACTGTAGTGCAAACCTGGGGACAGAAATAAACTAAATGGAATAATAAATTAATGAAATAAATAAGTAAACTAAATAAACAGAGCCAGTTTGGTGTCATGGTTAAGGTGCTGGTCTAGAAACCAGGAGACTGTGAGTTCTAGGCCTCCCTTAGGCACAAAAGCCAGCTGGGTGGCTTTGTGTCAGTTGCGCTCTCTCAGCCCAACCCTCCTCACAGGATTGTTGTTGTGGGGAAAATAGGAGGCAGGAATATTAGGTATGCTTGCTGCCTTGAGTTGACCAAATATAAAAAAGGAGAGATAAAAATCTAATAATAATAAAAAAATCAGGAGTAAGAATGCAGCAATTTCCCCATGTTTGGCTCCAGAACAATCATTAGTTTTGCAAGTATTCAGTTTGAGTATTCATAAAACCTGTGGCATTTGTGGGGATACATAAAAGAGATTCTTGTAGAAAACACAATTATCTGACTCCTCCCATACTGAAATCTGTGTATTTCTGGAAAAGCTGTTGGATAGGAAAAGCTTCCCCATGAGCGTCTTTCATACAAGGGTTGCCTGGTGAGTTTTTCCATCCAGCAACAGTTCACCTACAGCATATCACCTTGCATGAAATCCAATGGAAATCTCTGTGGCAAAATTATCCACAATGGAAACTCTCATCCCCCAGAGTTGGTCTTAGACATGGACATTTACACATGCACACACACACACACAGTAATTTCTTAATGAGCAGTCCTTCCGAATCCAATTTATGCAAAACCACGCCGATGTATTTTCCATCACTTTGCACAGGTTGCTTCAAACAACTGCACCCATATTAGAAAAAGCAAGGGGTTTTACTCAGGGATCTGCACATAGCAATTCGAGGATATTGCACATCACTGTTTGAACTCTTGCACTGTCTCAGATCAAGAGGACCATTAAGTTCTCTTGCTAAGTTACTGTGGCTCTGAAATGGCTTATGAGAGTCTAAAAGGTTTGTGTTTTGTTTTTGTATTGAGGTGATAAGAAAAACAAAACTGGTCTAAATGTCACCATGGCAAAATGAAAAACATAAACAGCAAAATATAACCATGTTCAACAGGCACTTTCACAGGCCTGAGACAAATGAATTAGCAGGTGGAAGGGTTGGGGAGCAGGTCCATGCTAGAATCTATCTGTGAAGAGGACCTGGGACCTTAAAATCCAGAGGTGACGTGACAAGGAAAGTGGCAGAATTGGCTATAGACGACTTCTTTAGCCTGAAAATCTCAAAAAGTTGAAGCAAAGAACATTAAAGTTAGATGAATGGAAGATGGAGAGCCAGGAAAAAAAATAATGAAGTAGGATTGAACTTCACTGTCAGAGTCTGCACACTCATTCCCAAAGTTCAGTAAATCCTCTGGAGACCAAACAGTTCCATCAAAGATTTCTTTATTGGGAGAAATGCACAGCAGCTATAGTTTGTTG